GCAGCTGCTCCGTTTACACGTGACAAGGCGCAAGTTGCACCCATGTGAAGCGCTGATAAAAAGAGCCGCCCCGGTGCAGGCAGCAGGCGACCCACACGGCTGTCTCCCGGTTCAGCAGACTGATTCCGCATCGCGTTGAGGGGGGGTTGCACGGGGACGGGAGGACTCATCCATACGAGTGCGACAGAGACAGTGATTGCTTCCCTCTCTGTCGCACTCGTGAGGATGAGTCCTCCCGTCCCCGTGCAACCCCCCCTCAACGCGATGCGGAATCAGTCTGCATGGTGTCTCCCAGGTATTCGAACAGGAGAGAGCCTGCGACCTCTGACTGTTAGGAGAGAGAGGGAGAGTGAGAGAGGGGGGGAGAGGGGGGGAGGGAAACAGGGAGAGGGCGGGGAAGAGGGGGGGAGAGGGGGGGAGAGGGGGAGAGGCAGACAGAGAGGCGGCGCTGACAGCTTTTACGCCCTGGAGGCGGTGGCAGGTCGCGCCGCGCCCCGTCAGCTCGCTCACTCAGCGCGCGCCCATCCCGCAGGTGGGTCTGACGGGGCCACCCCGGGCCGGGCTGGCTGGGCTTGGCCGCTTCCGCGGAATCGCGATGGCTGGCGATATTCTCCCCCGCGGGAGCTTAGAGCGGCACCATGCAGCACCCTCCGCCCGCCAGACGATGTGCGCCTGGCCCCGGCCCGGCCTGCCTGCCGTGAGGTGCGGTTCCCAGAAGCTGTCCGAGCTCCTAGAGCACCATCACGTCCCCAGCGCCGATGCTCGCTCATCCGCAGAGCCGCCTGCCACTGCTGCTGCTATTACTGCCTCATCGTTATTTATTTCCGGTCGTCGAATCGGAATAAGGCAGAGTCATAGAAACGCAGCAGAAGCCACTCTGTTGTCTGGTTCCCGAGAAAGCAGGAGCAGCAGTCAGCATATTGCTCAGCACATCACTTTTCCGACAAACAGCTTCGTGCTGGCGAGCTCTGTTCTACGCCCCCTGAAGGTACAAATATTGCACGCCTTTTGACAAAAAAAAAGGGTCTTTAAATTGTTAACATAAAAATCGAGCCAAAAAGTAATTTATGCGAAAAAAAATTGGGCCCTTTTAGCAGTAGACGCAGTGGTGGCCGCTTTGCCGATCCCCCCTAAAAGCTTAACGCCCCCGACGCTCATCGCCGCTGTCGGAAAAGAGAAGCCTCCTCTTTGCTCGCGTACACAAACACCCGCAAACCGCTCTCTAGGACGACAACACTGGCAACGCTGCCGGGGCCAAAAAAACTAGAGAAAATAATAAAAGGGGGAAAAGGAACAAAAAATTTGAATTGGTCCGAATCATTTGTACCCAGGGTTTTCTAGTGCCCTCGACAACGGCAGTGGCCACCACTGCGCCGCCACTCGGCGAGAGAATGAGTTGGCAGTAAATCTGCCAGAGCATGGCGTGCGGTGTACAGACACAAAGTAACCCCCTCCCCCCTTCCCCTTACCAAAAAAATGTTTAAAAAAATGCTCAAGATTCCCAAAACAATATAGGGCCAAGTATATTTCACTGGGCGGGATAGCACGGGGAACAGCGCCTCGCTATCTTCGCGGTCAGAATAAAACAACGGCAGTCAGCTGATGCCTGAGAGCGATGGGAGCAGCCTGACGTCACCGATTGTCAGCGAGCCGCCGCGCCACGCCACGCCGCGTCACAACATGAGGAGAGAGGCACCGCCGTCCCTCTCTTTGTCCGTCTCTCCCCGTCTCTCTTTCTCACGCATTCACTCTTCCCCTTTGTCTCTCTCCTTTCCATTCTCTCCTCTCTCTCTCTGAGGTCCCTAAGAATAGCCCGCCGCCCCGCCCGCCATCCTTGTCGATATAAATACTGGGCGAGCACCTCCGCCGACACGACTGCAGCAACAAGGAACCAGCACCGGCGGGCAGAGACAGAAAGGAAGAGAGAGAGAGAGAGAGAGAGAGAGAGAGAGAGAGAGAAGGGGGGGGGGGGAGAGGATAGGGGGTATCTCGCGTTTTGCGCTCAATGCACTGAGACGGGTTTATATTGACTCCGACCCTCAACCCGCCGCACACACCCCAAGGCCCCCTCCCCGCCTCTCTCGTTCTGCATCTTCCGTCCGCAGTCGGCAAACAGCGTATGTCTGGTGCTCTCTTTCTTTCTCGCTCTCTCACCCGCGGATGAACCGAGCGGGAACATAAAGGACTTGGGCTGCGGCGAGCGAGCGCGCGGTAGGGACGAACAGCAATAAAAAAGGAGACGGAAAAGAAAAATCCTCGTCGTGTTTCGCGCGCAGCCGCCATGCACCTGTGCTGGTCCGTCACGAGCTGCGCGCCGTCATCCTGCATTCGGTCAGCAGCGGTGCATGAAGACGTCACCGCGACACGGCGCGAGAGGGAACGAATTGATGACGTCATAAACCGACCCGGACACACAGTCGCATGGCAAAGTATATATCCTATTTAGTGTTTGACGGGGTGAGCTAAAAGAAGCTACGTAAGCAAAACCACTTTTTCAAAAAAAATTGAAATAAAAGAAATTTTTGAAGGCGGTCGAAGGGGAGGGCACGATCTCGTTCAAGTTTTAAGAGTCTATATCCTGGTCACGTTCACGTCGCGTATAGTGGACCGCGTACACACTGGGAAATGTATTAAGCCACGTGTCGTACTCAAAGTGTTAAGACATTATTGGGCAATAATGCGCAAATTTATAGACCATAATACACGCCCCCCTCTCCCCTCCCTTCCCACTCTTCGTCACAGACGCACACACACACACACACACACACACACACACACACAGCCGGCGTGGTGCGGGACTTCCCAACCCATGGCGCCCCCTGTCGCCGCCACCAGCGCGCAGCCCCACAGCAGCCCCGACATGTATTTCTGGCCGCCCCCCGAGCAGGACTGTGATGCCGCTACCCCACGCTGACGTCCACACCAGCGAGGGGTAGCGCCTCGAACGCACGCACATATACACACACCCATATACACTCACACACACACACTTGAACTCAGCTTTCTAGCAGTACTTGTCTTGTCCACCCCCACTCTCGCCCCGCAGGCCACAGACCCGAGCGGAATGCTTATTTCGTAAGCGAGGGAGGAAAGTCGGAGGAAGGGAGGAGGAGGAGTAGAGGGGTCTAGTGGGTCATGAGTCAGCCAAGTCCATCTATCAGTCTATGGGCGACGGCAGCTCAGCGCTGGCGGGGTGAAGGGCGAGGGTTCCATGAGGCCGGCCCTAATAGCCGTGGAGAAACTGCGATAAACAATGCACTAAGGATCTCTCGCGGGGCTGGGAGCGGGGCGCAGAGAGGAAGGTGCGATAGGCGTGAGGGAGAGGAGAGGGCGCATTTCCTGTGTTCGTCTAGCTGCCGCACTCCTCCCTTCCCTCCATGCCCCTACCCCCTCGATCCTGCATCTCTCAACACAAAATCGCTGTAGAAAATACGCAGGCAAACGGTATTGCCATATTAAAAGATTATGCACATATAAATTCTACCAAGTATTCGTGGAACGTTCATGTATTTTGCCTGCATTTCGTGCCTTACAATCGGTGGAGCAGGGCTCTTCTGTGTGTCAGGAACCTCTAACTCGTCAGTCATTCATTGTTGTATACGTTTGCATGGCACTCACCTTTTTGTTGGACTTGAAGACGTTGCAGCGGAAGACGTTGCTCGCGCCGTCCCGCGCGATGTAGCTGAAGATCTTGAGGTCTTGCGAGTCGTGCGACACGTAGAATATTCTGAAACAGAAAAAAAGTGTTTTCTAATGGCTACTTGATTGGAGTAGTATACACCGACA